TGTGTCAGTTGACCCACTGGACAAGTAAAAAGTTATCACAAGTTTGTACAAAATTAGATTTTCCTTTGACGTGCATGCCCAAACCTGAGAGTCTGTCACTAGGTGTTATGCTCCCTGACACACTACCCTGACAAACTACCTCTCCTACACTCAACATCTACAACGTGCACTGGTTTGCTCCTTTTTGTTGGCTTCATCCATTATATATTTTATTATTTTAAAGAGTTCAGAAACATAAATGCATGTTTCAAGTTGTCATGGGCTAAACATGTCTTCTATCCATTATCTTATGTGATATTTTGAGTTATATTTTTATGCTTGTATGATTGATGCTAAAGTATTATACGAGTCATTGATTAATCTTCAGTCTGATGTCTCAGTTAATTTCGTTTTTTCAATTGTGTGCGTGTTTGATGGGCTTTGATGGGATGTCTAGGCACACACCTCAGGGGGCTGGAGACCACAGCCACATATGACCCAGCCATGCAGGAGTTTGTCTTGAACAGTCCCACAGTCAGCTCCATCAAATGGTGGCCTGGAGGACGTAAGTACACTCACACTGTCACGTTTCTGCAGGACTGGACCAAGAAATATTTTGCAGCCTGGAATTGGAATAATACCAGAAATCCTGTAAGGAATATGTTTTGTTTTCATCTAGATTTGCTTTTTTCTTGTTTTTCTTTCAGGCCGAGAACCTCGTCGACATTCAGAACAAACACGTTTTAACCCTCTCACTCCCTCTTTCTAGTTGGAAAGACCACCAACCATGCCATAGTTCTAGCCCAGCTTTATACTCAGGGAAATTGCCACGGCCTACATACTTTCATTGTACCCATCCGTGACATGGACACACACGTCCCCTTGCCAGGTAACCGCCGTCTGCGATATATGTCTGGATTTAGTGTTTGTGGTAAAGTCACTCCTCATTTACCTTCCCGTCTCTGCCTCCCTATTTCTCTCCTAGGTATTGTTGTTGGAGATATCGGCCCCAAGTTTGGCTTCAGTGAAGTAGACAACGGCTACCTGAAACTAGAGAACGTGCGAATCCCACGAGACAACATGCTGATGAAATACGCCAAGGTAACGTGACATTATGAGAGTTGATTGTTTCCCTGAGGACAGATGGGTTTAAGTTGAATAGATAGTTCTTGTTTCTGAGATTTGGTCTTCTTGTTTGAAACGATTGCTGAATGCGTAATAACACCTATTGTTACACTAAAATAAGTTTTATAACTTATTTCGGGAACAAGGACGACGCCCCGAACATATCTCATTTCCTCCGCACAAAGTATTTAAGCACAGGCTCTTTCTCAACCCTTCCAATAACAAACTGTTTGAAGATGACCAGCTATATCCTTAGTCCAAACTTCATTTCTTCACCTGTACAAATCCTTGGTACGTCCACACCTCGAGTACGCCTCAGTCATCTGGTTGCCCCCAAACTCAAGAGGGACAAAGATGCCCTGGAACAAGTACAGAGGCGCGCCACAAGACTAGTTCATGGCCTCACCGACCGCTCATACCCAGAAAGACTTGCCAGCCTCAACTTGCCAACACTAGAATTTTGACGTCAACGAGCCGACATGGTTCAAACATTTAAGATATTGAAAGGAATCGACAGCGTACAGTCTGACAGATGTAATGTATGTGGCAATAGTATGTTCAAGAAATCCCTTAGCACCACCACGAGAGGCCACGACCTGAAACTACAGGTACAGCACCAGCCTGGTCCACGGAAACCTCTCTTTGCACTGACCAATAAACATAGTGTATCTAGCCCTTGTGTTGTCCTCTCAACTGCCATACACCTGTTGTCCTCAGGGGTCAAAAATGACCCCACCTGGTTTGACTGTTTTTAAAGCATATAGTATAAATTGTCAATCAATTCTGTTTTACACCTTTAGTCTTACTTCAGTCAAACACATTACCACAAATCGTTCCCTTCATTTTGGAATTTAGGGCCAATAGACCTTGTTTACATAAAAGTATACCCTGTTTTTGAGTGAAAATACAATGAATTATTTTGACTTTATATTATTTTTTACTATTTGACTTATCACAGAGAGGTACATATCAAAGTTTAGTGAGGATGCTGTTCTTGAATCATTTGAATTTTTCTAATGGCAGCACATAATCACACCTGTTGTCCTCTGGGGTCAAAAAAGACCCCGTCAGCTTCGACTGTTTATAAAGCATACAGTATGAATTATCACCCACCTCTGTGTTTCAACTCCTTAGTCAACTTTATTCCAAGTCATTACCTGACATATAAAACATGTCAACATTCATTTCTGCAACATTTAACCCTCCTGTTACCTTCAAATTTACTAACGCCTGTTATCCTGGGGTCATTTTTGACCCCAGCAATTTGAACCTGCAGAGCATTATTGTAATTAAAATTGCTACCCAAGTTTATGTGTCAGGTACTTAGTTTTTTGTTGACTACCTAAATAGCCCTTTAAATAAAACAACCCCCCCCCCCCGACACCCAAACCTGTATACATCCAGAATCCCTGTTACGGGACTATGGAGAAATATGCAGATCACCATCAAATCTCACTGATTGACCTAAAATTGGAAAGAGATATTTTTTGGGTGTTTTAATGGCTTTACATATAACTTTACATATCAACATGTTGAGTTTGTGTTTACCCAGTTGTCCCCATTAAATTAGGAAAAGTCATTCAATATTAAACCAAAAATATGATGTCTCATTTATTTAGAACATTTTGTGCTGTCCTGGGGTCAAAAATGACCCCAGGACAACACAAGGGCTAGACACAGAAAACTACGTGTGTACCAATGTACAGGGTACCCCAGACTCACCTACTGTCCACAACCTCTCACCACAAACATTAACATGTAGTCTCAGCATCGACAGAAAACAACAAAAGACCAGCTGAACTGCTTTTATTCTTGGCTCCCACTCTGCTGATTGGCCAGCCTGCAATTGGTGCAACCCACGGAGCAGCACGACCAGCCCCCACAGGTGGAACCCAATCAACGGATTGACACCTGATAGGAAATGAGGAAGTTTTTTATTAGTACATCTCATCCTTCTTTGTCTATCCTACCTTTATTAAACATTCTCCAAAATTGAATCAACATCTCTGTGAAACGGCCCCAACAAAAACTGAACATTACCATCTTCATAAAGGTAGCATTTATTCCAGTACGGTTGTATTTGACTGCGTTACTTTTATTTGGGTGTGCCTTATAAACTGTTGTGATAATAAACTGAGTTTATACAGTGTATTACATTCATAGTGGGATGTTTGCGCCTCAAGGCATCTGCAGTTAGAATGACTCTGTCTCTCCACTAGGTGGAGCCAGATGGAACATATCTGAAGCCACCAAGCGCCAAGCTGACCTACGGCACCATGGTGTTCATGCGCTCCTTGATTGTAGGCAAGTCAGCCCAGGTCCTCTCCAAATCCTGCACCATCGCCATCCGCTACAGTTCTGTTCGACACCAGTCTGAAATCCGTCCGGGGTCAGTCAACACAAATGAGTGTACTTCAGCAAACAGCTGCACAAACATTTCATTACTCACAGAAGTTGCAAGGAAACACATGCTTAAGGTCAAGCTCAAAATTAGATTTGACCTAATGGCACTGGACATTCACAGTAGTCTCGCTGGTCAGGGTCGAGGTTCAGAAATGTCGACATAATTCCAACAGGAGATGGAAGTAGCACTGTTTTTTTACCACATTCCCATGTATCAAAGGGAAGTCCAACCTTTTATATGAGATCCTGAAAAGTCCAACCTGTGTGTTTGTGTCCCACAGAGAACCAGAGCCTCAGATCCTCGATTACCAGACGCAGCAGTACAAGCTCTTCCCTTTGCTGGCTATGGCCTATGCCTTCACTTTTGTTGGCCAGTATATGAGCCAGACCTACCACCGCATCAGTGGAGACATCAACCAGGGGGACTTCAGTGAGCTGCCCGAGGTACTGACTGGACGTGCACATGAAGGATGTGATCTAGGTTTGATGAGGACAGAGGATGATTCAGGTCAGATCAGATTCAGATTCAACTTTATTGTCATTACACAGAGTACAAGTACTAGGACAATGAAATGCAGTTTTAGCATCTAACCAGAAGTGCAAAAAGAAACAGTAAGGTGCAGTGCTAGATAAATAACAGTATAGATAAGAGATAAATAATAAAGAAAGATAACAGTATATGAGTAGTATAATAATATGAACAGTGGGTATGAAATGCAAGATATATATAGTTGATGCATATTGACTGACTGGGCTGTAGATTACTTACTGTTTCTCATATTCTCGTCAGGGCAATAGATCATCCATGGCAAATTAGTACAAACATTTCATTTTTATTTTAAATGTGTATAATTGGCAACTAGTCCCTCCATGAAGCTCTTTTCAGCCTCTTTGTCTTCCAATCTCCAGCTCCATGCCCTGTCTGCTGGCCTGAAGGCCTTCACCACATGGGCAACCAACTCTGCCATCGAGGTGTGCCGCATGTCATGTGGCGGCCACGGCTACTCCCGCAGCAGCGCCTTGCCCGACATTTACGTCAACTTCACCCCTACGTGCACCTACGAGGGAGAGAACACAGTCATGATGCTGCAGACTGCGAGGTAACTCGTCACACAGACTCGTATGACAACAAATCTGACACCTTACCAAGACCAAGTTCTCCACCCAACTCTGACTCAAACACACGCTGGAAAAGCCTGGGTGGTTTGTTTCTGTGTTGTTAGAGTGCTCATGAAGTAGTTATGTCATATTTGTGTCTACTTTAAACTGTAACATTTAAACTTATAGTAACATTGACGTAAAACCAGAATAGATTTTAGTACAGGTACTCAAACAGCAGGGCTCTCACTGAAGTACACACATTTAGCTTTTTGTAACCGAGACAAATACAGACACACACAGGCATAAACATACACCCACTCAGCAGCCCTATCATACCACAAATGCAGGGGACACACCCTCACTCCTCCCACAGCATAAACAAACACAGGTGACCTTTTATAACCCTAAATGATAGCTGTTACTGTTAGTTACTACCAGCACTATAATGGTCAGTTTGAAAATGCTGTTATGGGATGTTTCCCTGGCAAAGTTGTGCCAACAGTTACTGAAATGTTCAATTACACAATGAGCTCTTAACTGAGCATGAAGTACACACACAAAGGCTGAAGGTGTTGTGAATGGGTACGAATGAGGAGGTTGATACTTGAACCACACTTGGATTTGGTATTAGCAAATTGATACACAATCACACAAGAAGAAATAAATTACGTTCTTAACAGTACCACAAGAAATACTGCATTTGGGTACGGCTGAGTTCCATGACCGTGAACACCAAATAGTTCACCAGCCAGCTCGTGCTCCCATGGTTTAGTTGTTTAACCCTCACCTGTGTGCCTCTTCAACTTTTGTCCATGTAGATTCCTGGTGAAGAGCTACCAGCAGGCTAAGGCAGGACAGCAGCTGAGCGGCATTGTGTCATATCTGAATGAACCAAAGCATCAGAGGCTCCAGCCCCAGCCTGTCGCTGCCAGACCAACCGTGGTCGACATAAATGACCTGGCTAGCCTGGTGGAGGTCTACAAACAGCGAGCTGCCACGTAAGAGACAAGATCTAGTTACTTGAGTTATTTAACGCCTTTTACCATTTCATGTTGTTTTCCACATTTTTATCAGACACATTTGTTATTTATGTTAAAGTACAACAAAAAACTTTTTTACCAAACACAAGTTATTTATTGTCTTAAGTCAATGTACTACTGCTCTGATCCCTCCACTTTTGGCTCATGGTTCCCAAAGAGTATCTGTCCAGATGTGCTGTTGTCTGCTGTCGACCATTTTTCTGCCTCTGACCATTTCACTGACATAATATGCGGCTCTGACCACATCCCAGCATACTGTCAGTCTTAGTCACATGAAAATTCATTGGTCAGTCAGTGTCAGCTGTGTGGCGAACACAAACAGCGACTAAGCCAGTCTGGAGGGTGGCAAAATGTGGCCTCCCAGATCAGACATTAGGAACAAAGGACAGTTACGTTTTAGTAATAATTTATTTATGTTTCTAAAAAAAGGCTCCCTCTGAAATATTCCTTCCATTAAAAAATATATAGATTTGAGTCTAACAGAGGTTCCAGATTTCAGGAGATCTGCTGTTCTTAAAACCCAAAGATAATTATGGTATGCCATGTTGTTAAAACTGAGGAGGTAAAAAGTGTCTTAATGGTGTTATTAATGTATATTAATAACATCTTTGGTTAATTCAGATAATGTTTGTGTTTGTAGTCTAGTTGATCTGGCAGCTAAGAGCATCCAGCAGGAGTTGCAGCTCAGGAAGAGCCAGGAGGACGCCTGGAACAACAGTGCTGTTGACCTGGTCAGAGCCACAGATGTAAGTTCCGTCTGTCTGTCTGTGTGTTTGATCATCATACAGTTTAAAGCCTTCTGTAGCTTGTGATACACAGACATGGCTTGGACTTATGGGTCATTGTAGAGATTGATGCCAAGCTCCAAAGCCAATATGTTGTTTGTTCTGATGCAGACTGAAGTCAAACTCAAATTCTGCTCATGTCCATCTCATTTCTTCTTTTTCTGTCCGTTTCCTTCTTATTTATTTACCTTCCCCCCGGTTTTGTTTTGTCTCCAGGCCCACTGTCACTATGTTGTAGTGAAGCTCTTTACTGACAAGCTTGGGGAGGTCGGTGACACAGCGATACACTCTGTGATGTCGACCCTTGCTCTGCTGTATGCCCTGAATGGCATTAAAAACAACTCTGGAGACTTCCTACAGGTCAGAAAAATCACAACATGCAGAAACAACATGGTCCACATTTACTAATAATCGTATTGTAGATGTTACAGACATATTGTGCAAAGCTGCCCCAGTTATTTGCATACTCCCTGTGCTGTTGGTCAGTTTTACTGTCTGCTTCCTTCCATGTAAAATACCAGCCTCAATTCCGTCTTTGTCTCTGAGTTAACAAAATGGATTCTTTGTGTGTCGGGTTTGTATATCTGGGCGGCTGGTGAAGTAATGCAAATTAGATTTTGTTTCATCAGCTGAGCTTTAAATTGACAATGAAATATAAGACTTCAGGCTTTGTTTAACAACCCGCTGTCTCTCTTGTCTGTTTCCTCACTGTTAAGGCGGCTGAGTGAGGTCCAGCAGCACGTTTTCATCCACATCTCCATCTGTTTTATTTCAGGCTGGACTGCTGAATGTGCCCCAGGTGCTGCAGGTTTCTGTTCGTGTCAAGGAGCTGCTGTCTCAGCTGAGGCCCAACGCTGTGGCACTAGTCGATGCCTTCGACCACCACGACAGGAAGCTGAATTCGGTCTTGGGACGATATGATGGCAACGTGTATGAGAACTTGTTTGAGTGGGCTCGCCGCTCACCGCTAAACTCCACAGAGGTCAGTTATATTCACAGGGATGAAATAAAAGTAGTGTCACGGCACAGGTGGTACTGATGAAATTCTCCTTTGTTAGGTCTAAGGGATTTAATTACCACTATGCAGTAAGGCTTACAAGCTACTAACAGGCTTCAATGTACGCTAAATGCTAGCAACAAGAACCGGATGCAGGCCTTACCTGATCCCCGGTGAGCTCAGCCTGCTTCCTGCAGTCACTCCACTGGTTTCCTCACAGCGGTCTGCTCCCAGACAGGCTCATATGAGATAAGACCCGCCTTTTTGATGGTTGGCATCCAACCAAAAATAACAATTGACAACATGTGACTGTAACAGTAAAGACAAATAATTCTCAATAATAAGTTAGCATTTTCAGGTCTCCTTAGTTTCTCAAGATGTGTGTTATATCTGTAAGAGAAGCCGTTAAATATGGCAGGGCAGTAGTGTTGCACAGTGATGCTTTTATTACTTTATTTGACACCATTACTCATTTTGTATAGAATATAAACATTATCACAGTTGCATTTAAATGGATGTGTATAGTGACATAGTGAGTATTTCTATCACAGTAAGTCGGTCAGTTCCGTAGGTTACAGAAATGGAAGATAAGTGACTTAAATATCTTTCTCTGACTATCTAAGCTATTGCGTTAGTACACTGTATGGCAAACAATAATGATTTGGCATCAGAGGAAGAAATGTGTGAGCTTACATGCTCATTATTTCAGTTTGAATAATATTCCATTCCTTCTTCCTTCCCCAGGTCCATGAATCCTTCCACAAGTACCTGAAGCCCCTGCGGTCCAAACTGTGAGCACCTTGATTCCTGGCTGAGACCCATCAACACTGCATTTATAAGCACAACCTTAGCCTCATTAACACACCATATCATTTCTGGTATTTACCAGTCTGCATTGATTTAGCCTTCATCTCTATAAGTGGTGAGTTGATCACCATACTTCCAGGAGAATGGAAGCAATACCAGGAATGAAAATTCAAAATCTCTAGTGAGATCGTTATTTTGTGCAAAAAAAATATTTTAAGAATACTGAAAACAATCAAGTATTTGCACTTTTAGATTACCATGTTTTCTCCCCCCATACCCTTCCATACCAGTGAATAATGGTGTATGACTGACTTGCATAAACATTCATGCAAATCAGAGCAGAGATCCAACAGAAACATCAAGTGAAGATATAGAATATCCCACATATCAAGTGTCTAATGAGACCACATATGCACTGTATATGTGAATTAGTATTCTCCCTCCCTGCTGTGTGGCATTGATATATTATAAAGAAGGGTAAAAACACATTTCAAAATCAAATGTTCAAATCCTGCTGACAGTATATGATGAAATATCTTCTATGGATCTTTTTTTTATTATTATTAATCTCTTACAGTTTTAGAAACAAACACAGTTTTAGAAAAAAAACTAAAGTGACTCAGCAAGCAGAAATATAATATAATAATTAGAATGAGAGTTGGTAGATTTGTGATCTTGGTTTATCTCAGTGGGCAGAAGTTTATTTTGGTCACAGTGCCACCAAATCCAACAGGCTGGTGAATAAAAGTAGCAACAGAACAACTCCAGTAAAATGTAATGAGTTTTGTTTTTGACTGTAATGACACGATGATGAAAAGGAGAGCTTTAATCTAAAGCCTCACTGTAAAGATGATTTGTGAGATAATTATGATAAGATAACTAATTGAGTTTCAGTACAAGGCGATTAGTGCTTCCTTTAAATCCGTTAATTTCTGCCGCGAGGGCACGATTATCAATATGTAACAACTAAGCTCTTTATTAACCATGTTTGTGTGATCATGGTTTATTGAATAATGATTTGAAACAATATGATTGTAATGGTTATTAAATAATTTGACATGTAAATTATATTAATAAAAAACGAAATGATTAGTGTGTTTTGTGTTTATGTCTTGATCCTACAGTTAACCAGCTTGAACAGTATGAAGTACTCTTTGCAAAAGTCTACATAAAAAAAATTACAAATGCATACAAATTAGGCATTCGTAAGGTTGCGTTAAAAAGCCTGGTAAGGGTGCTTATTTACTTACGATTGTTACATTATTTTAACACAAACATGATATTTTTTCTAACCTTAAAGGTCCCATGTATCAAAAAGTGAGATGTTCATGTCTTTTTATATGGTTAAAGAGTTCTTTAGAATTCTGTAATGAATCAGTTTCATTATTCTTTTCCTAGGTTGGTTCCAAAAATACCACATTTTGCTGGAGCGTCATGTCACGCTTTCAAGAGGACAAGTGGAGGTAGGCTTACCTACAGCATTTCAGGGCTAGATATAATAACTACGATTTGCATTTCAGTTTGACTCTTCTTTGCTAACTAGGACCTTATGACCACGCTGGGACCACACTACATGAACAGACAGCAAACCAAACTACCTGTGTCTAACAGTGTTCTCGCCTGTCTGTGGACTCTGTCTAACCACGAGTTATAGGGGTGTGGCAGACAGATTCAACATTTCAAAATCTACACTTTCAACACATCTCCATCACTTCTGTTGCCTGGTCACTACACATCTGTCCCATCGCATTTCGTGGCCTACAGGGGAAGCACTTCACACGTCCGTGTTACACTTTCAAACAGCTGGATTTCCAAATACAGTCTGTGCTGTCGATGGATGTTGTTAAACTACATTGCAACAATCCCACAGCCTATTATAACAGAAAATTCTATTCCATCTTCAGCGGATTCTGTGACTGTGAACGGAGCTTCTGTCATGTAAAAATAGGTCACCCTGGTAGCTGGCATGATGCCAGAGCATTTCGCAACATCGATGTTGCACCGCTATTTGAAGAAGATCCCCAGGCCCTGGTCCCAGAGGGAATGCACATCATCGGTGATTCAGCTTA